GTCGTCGTCCTGTCTCCTTTCCTCCTCGTCCCCTTACTGCCCCTTTCCCCCCTCCCGTCTCCTCGCACCCCTTCTCGCCTTCCTCGTCCCCGTCGTCGGCCTTTTCGTTTTTCTCGCCCCCCCCCCCGATCGACCTCCGAACACTCCTCGGCCTTTTTCTCGCCCTCCTTCTTGCCCTCCGTCCTCCACCTCCTCCTTCATCCTCGTATCCCTCCCCTTTGCTCTCCCCCCTCCTCGTCCTCTCCCTGCTTCCTTCCCTTCCCCCTCATCCTCGTATCCCTCCCCTTGCCCCCCCCCTCCCCCCTCCTCGTCCTCTTCCTGTCTCCCTCCTTCCTCCTCCCTCACCCTTCCCTCGCCCCTCCCTCCTTCCCCCTCTCCATCCCCCCCCCCAGCGGAGTCGCTGCTCTTCGCACGGCCCCGCGAGGCGAAGGTCCGAGGGCCGCGTGTGCGGGCGGAGGGCCCCGCGTCGGCCCTCGGCGGGCCCCGGGGCCCCCGCTCCGTGCCCGAGCCCCGGGGGGCACGCGAGCGGACGGGGAGGGGGCCCGAAGGGGCGTCGCTCGGGCGTGGGCGCCTCCCCCTCCTCCTCCTCCTCCTCCTCCTCCTCCTCCTCCTCCTCCTCCTCCTCCTCCTCCTCCTCCTCCTCTCCTCGGCGCTGGCCACCGCGGAGCAGACGGGGCCCTCTTGCGAGGAGGCCCGCGCGCGGGAGGCCGAGAACTGCACTCGGGGGGGGTGGGCGCCCGACTCGAGCGGCGAGGGGAGGGGGCGGCCGAGGGTGGCCCGCGCCCTCCTCGCGTCGTGGCACGCGTGCGGCGGGAGGCCTCTCCCACAGTCAGCCCGCGTCGTAGGGAAGAGCCACCTTCTCAGGGGGTACCCCGTGCACCCTTGCCTTCTCGGTCCCTCCTTGGCCGCTCTCGTTGGCCCTGCCCCGCTCGACAAGTGTCGACTGAGACCCCAGCACGTCCATGGAGTTGGGGTGTGGGTCGGAAAAACTCCTCCTCCTCCTCCTCCTCCTCCTCCATCTCCTCCTCCTCCTCCTCCTCCTCCTCCTCCTCCTCCTTCTCCTCTTCCTCCTCCTCCTGCCAAGGCCTTTGCCTCCTGACCGCGCATCCATATCATGCGGGCTGACTTTAGAGGTTGGGCCCCTGGGGGGCCCCGACGGGGCCCCCGGGCCGTCGGGCTCCTCCACCCAAAATCGGGGGCGGCCACGAGGGGGAGGATGACCAGGGGGGGTGGTATTCATGGCCTGGGCCAGGATATCTCCCCAGATTTCAGATCGCCCCTTCTGATCTCGAGGCGTCCGCCGCCGGCGCCCCCGCCTGGACGCCCCCGCACGGATACCGCTGCTCCCCGGACCTCTCCCAGGGTGCGTTCTGGCTAGAGTTTTAGTGCGAATCCAGCCGTGGCGACGAGGGCCTCCCAGGAGGCCCCAAAAGGGGGAAGCGTCAGGAGGGTGGCGGTATGGGTACCTCCTCCTCCTGCTCCTCCTCCTCCTCGTCCTCCTCTTCGTCCTCCTCCTCCCCCTCCTCCTCCCCCTCCTCCTCCTCCTCCTCCTCCTGTGGGAGCCGTGTGAGGGAGCTGCTCCCCGAGATGAGTTCCGCCCCCCGCCTCGGCGGGAGCGGCCGGGGCTCGGCTCCCCGTGGGGCGACTCGGGAGCGGAGTGCGGGGCGAGGCTGGCGGCGGGGAGGGGAGGGGTGGAGCGGGGCTGGGCGGGACGGGCGGTGCGGTGGTGTGGCGGGAGAGGATCGGGTATGGCCAGGACCCCAGGTAAGGGGACCCAGTTGATCAGTGGTAGGGCCTCGGAGCCTTCGAGTTGGCCAGAATCACGAAACCAGGTTGGCCGTAGCGGGTGTTTTTGTCGGGTGACGGCAGTTCCGGTCAGTGAAACGGGGCGAGGGGGGCGTCCCCCAGTACACATCACTAAACCAGGTCCCACTAAGCCCAGTTCTGCCAACGCCCGAGAGGAGGGCGGGAGGGGGGGAGGCACGGGGCACGGGCGAAGGCGGAGGTAAGGGCGGATCGAGGCATGAGATCGAGGTCGATTCGGGGCGGGTCACCTGGTAGTCTTCGTGTCTGTCGGGTGCTCTTGTGGGGATCCTGGGGAAGAGTGCCCTCGAATGAGTGTTCTTCCGTTTGGCCGGCGGAGGGTCTCAGATTCTTGAGTGCCTGTTTTTCTTTGGATTCGGGCAAGTTTACTTGCATGGACGGGGGGGGGGGCTGAGTCTGAAGCACACCGAGAACAATTCGACGTGCGGAAATCACGCAAGTCGAAAGGCACTTGCACGCTCGTGTTCGATTGAAGAGGGGCGAGGGGGGAGAGGCGGGGGGGGGGGCGAGCGCCATGCAAGTAAGCTTGCCTGGATCGAAAGAAAAACAGGCTCTGAGGGATGTTCTTCTGTCCCAGGTCCGGCCGCAAGGGTGGGGGTAACGGGTGAAGGCACGGGGCACGGGCGGAGGGCGCGGGGTGAGGCGGAGGAGGGCGCAGAGGAGAGAGAGGGGGCCGGGTATTGTCGGGCCGGGCGAAAGGGGGGGATTGGGAAAGGGGGGGTTACGAAATCTGCTGCATGCAGCTGGTTTCGGCCTCACCGAGGGGCCCATTCCTCGATACATAGCCGCCTCTGGCGCCGGGAGGCGCCGGGAGAATCAGCTACGTGAGCTGATTCTCAAACCCCCCCTTTGCTATCCCCCCCCTTCGCCCGACCCGATATATGCCGACGCACAGATGGATTGAGGCGCGACGGGTCCCGTTTTCGTGCAGAATCGGCGTGCCCCGTCGCCGATCCAGACGGCACCGGCTTCATGTCCGTCGATCCCTAGTCCATGTTACAGTCGGGCCAAGTAGAAGATCGGGGTCGATTGGGGGAGGGTGCGTACCCAAGTGTTCTTTGTGTTTGTTGGATGATCTGGTGCATCCTGGGG